GGCTGGTCACGTAATGCGATTTAAAGATGACCGTTGGACTAGAGCTGTTACTGATTGGATTCCACGGGATGTCAAAAGACCGCGTGGCCGCCCACCTACCAGATGGTCAGACTTCTTCGTCAAGATCATGAACGATCGGTTTGAGGCCCTTCATGTTCCCGGAGCGAACAGATGCCATTGGGCTACACTAGCACGCAACAGGGACAAATGGAGACGTTACTGGCGCCCGCTCGAGCAAATCGACGACTAACGGGAACTTACGTGATTATTAAGTGAAAATCAAGTACTTAGGAATCAGCTTAACTAAGGAAATAAAGGACCTGTACAAAGAAAACTACAAAACGCTACTTCAGGAAATAAAAAAGGACATGAGGAAATGGAAAGATATCCCCTGCTCATGGGTCGGGAGACTTAACATTGTCAAAATGGCAATACTACCGAAAGCATTGTATAAATTCAATGCAATCCCTATAAGGATACCCACGACATTCTTCAAAGAAATGGAGCAAACACTCCTGAAATTTATATGGAACACTAAGCCCCCACGAATAGCTAAACGAATTCTTGGGAAAAAGAAAATGGGAGGAATCAACCTCCCGAACTTCAAACTGTACTACAAAGCAGTAATAATTAAAACAGCATGGTACTGGAACAAAGGCAGAACTGCAGACCAATGGAACAGGGTCGAATACACTGACATCTCCCCTCAATCATATGATCATCTAATCTTTGATAAAGGTGCAAGTAATGTGAAGTGGAGTAAGGAAAGCCTCTTTAACAAATTGTGCTGGCATCACTGGACAGCTACGTGCAAAAAAATGGGCTTAGAACTCTGCCTAACACCGTGTACAAAAGTAAGATCAAAATGGATTAAAGACCTCAACATCAGACCAGAAACCATAGGTACTTTGAAGACAATGTTGGCAAAACCCTCCATGACATTGTAGCTAATGGTATTTTCAAAGATGCCACGCCACTGACTGAGTAAGTGAAAACAGAGATAGATAAATGGGACTATCTTAAACTATGAAGCTTCTGCACCTCCAAAGAAACAGTGACCAAAATACAAAGACAGTCTACAGAATGGGAAAGAATATTCGCCGAATACACATCTGACGAGGGGTTGATATCCAGGATATACAAAATACTGATTGAACTCCTCAAGAAGAAAACATCCAACCCCATCCAAAAATGGGGCAATGAAATGAACAGAAACTTTCTCAAAGAAGAAATCCGAATGGCAAAAAAGCACATGAGAAAATGCTCTACATCATTAATCATCAGGGAGATGCAGATCAAAACCACAATGAGATACCATCTCACACCTCAGAGACTGGCCCACATTCAAAAGAACAAAAGCAACCGATGCTGGAGCGGATGGGGCGAGAAAGGGACACTCCTTCACTGTTGGTGGGAATGTCGACTGGTTCAGCCCTTCTGGAAAACAGTATGGATGATTCTCAAAAAATTAGAAATTGAGCTCCCATTTGACCCAGCAATACCACTCCTGGGAATATATCCCAGAGAGGCAAAAGTGTATAGTCGAAGTGACATCTGCACTTGTTTGTTCATTGCAGCACTCTTTACAATAGCCAGAAACTGGAAGAAACCTGAATGCCCAAGAACAGATGACTGGTTAAAGAAACTTTGGTACATCTACACAATGGAGTACTATGTAGCTGTTAGAAAAGATGAAGTCATGAAATTTACATACAATTGGTATAACATGGAAAGTATCATGCTAAGCGAAATGAGTCAGAAACAGAGGGATAGACATAGAAAGATTGCATTCATCTAGGGGATATAAAGTAACAAAATATGAGATTAATACCCAAGAATAGCTGAGAACAGCACCAGGAGGATTACTCCATAGCTTAGTGGCAAGTCGGGCATTCTAGAGGAAAGGGCAGCTCAGACGGAGAAGGGAACACCAAATAAAGGGTGTTTGGAGGACCCTCCCAGGAGGGGAGATGCATGTCGAAAGTAGACTATGGACTGAACATGTTTGCCACTCAATGCCTCTTTTGCAGACCACAACACCCAAAAGGAGAGAGAGAACACAGGGGATTGCCCTGCCACAGAGGCAGGGGGGCATGGGGGGATGGGGGTGGGGGGGATATTATCCATGATGGTGGAAAATGGGCACTTGTGGAGGGATGGGAATCTGATCATTGTATAATCAAACCCAAGCACAAAACATTGTAAATCTACAACTGTACCTCATGGTGTTTCACTAATAAAAATATATATATATAAAATAAAAAAAAAGATGAAGTCATGAAATTTACATACAAGTGGTACAATATGGAAAGTATCATGCTAAGCGAAATGAGTCAGAAAGAGAGGGATAGACATATAAATATTGCATTTTTCTGGGGGATATAAAATAACAAAATATGAGTATAATACCCAAGAATAGCTGAGATCAACACCAGGAGGATTACTCCATAGCTTAGAGGCCAGGCGGGTATTCTAGGGGAAAGGACAGTTCAGATAGAGAAGGGAGCACCAAATGGAGGGTGTTTGGAGGATCCTCCCAGGAGGGGAGATGCAGGTTGAAAGTAGACTGGACTGAACATGTTTGCCACTCAATGCCTCTTTTGCTGATCACAACACCCAAAAGGAGAGAGAAAACAAAAGGGAATGCCCTGCCACAGTGGCAGGGGGGATGGGGGTGGGGGGGATATTATCCATGGTGGTGGAAAATGGGCACTGGTGGAGAGATGGGTATTTGATCATGGTATGACTGAAATCCAAGCACAAAAATTTGTAAATCTACAACTGTACCTCATGGTGTATCACTAATAAAAAATAAATAAAAATAAAAAAAAGAATGATCATTGTCACTGTTGTCGGGTTTATATATGGACAATGAAGAGCCTCTCTTCGGTGACCTGACTGGTCTGGTTGTCCTGGTAACAGCGCCTGACCCCACTCTGCCTGTCTATAACTAAGTGTCCATAGACCATCATGAACCTACGGACCCTGTACTGGGGTCATCACTGAGGAAGCCTGACCTTGTCAGGAGCATAGAAACAGCTTATGGAGACCCTCAGCCACAATCTATTGGGCAGGAAGCCTGGTCTTAGTACTCAAACTCACACAGCAACAAGGGTACAAGTACACAAGCCCCGATCACTGCCAGATATGACCCACCCCAAACCCCAGATGAATAGATCCTAACAGGCTGTGTCACATATTGTACCTCCTATTCCTGTGCAGTGCAGGAGTTGAGATAAATCCAAGAAGCCAGAAAATATGATTTAAAAAATAATTCAGCATGAAGAGTCAAAAGTGAAAATGTGAATGACAAATGTGTGTGAACAGAAATACTCCTTTTGCAGTGTCTTTCAATTCAGGTCAGGTTATTTTTGAAACTTTGGGTTTTTTTTTTTTGCCTTCCCCACTATTATCTCTTGGGGCCCTTAAAGTCAGAGGACCCTGAGACAATGGTGGAGAGAAATGAGCACTTACGTAGCAGATGTGATGCTGAAACATTATCGTTGATGGTCCTGTAAAATTGTGAATTATGGTGAATAAAATATAACACAAGATGAATAATAAAATAAGTTTTATTGAAGAATAATATGCACAGTGGGGTAGAGCGATAGCACAGAGGCAGGGCATTTGCCTTGCAAGCGGCCAACATGGCTGACCCGAGTATGATTCCTCCATCCCTCTCAGAGAGTCAGGCAAGCTACCGAGAGTGTCTCCCCGGCATGGCAAAGCCTGGCAAGCTACCCGTGATGTATTCTATATGCCAAACACAGTACCAATTGTCACAATGGAGACATTACTGGGCCAGATCAAGCAAATCAATGAACAATGGGAGGCCAGTGACAGTGACAGTCACAGTTTTTAAGAAAACAGTTTTTCTCTACCAAAGAGTGACAGCAGCCAGGCTATTCAGGTTCCAAACAGACAAAAATCAGATGCAGGAGGAATGAACATTTTCCCTTCCTTCTTCTGGCACCTCAGCTCATTTTCCCCCTGTCTGGGGGACATATCCTGGGGGCTCTGGGTCTCAGGGTGCAGAATGAGGAGAAACTGATCCCCTGATTTCCTGGTTCCCGGCATACACAGGGAACAGACCGTGAATAATTATTATTGATGCATGTTTTTCAGATGATATTTTTGTTAGCAATCATGAGCATTCTAGCTACAGGATCAGTGTTTTTATTTCCCCAATATGTAATTTCTTTTTATTTATTTATTTTAAAATTTTATTTATTTATTTTTAAATTTTATTTATTTTTAAATTTTATTTATTTATTTATTTATTTATTATTTTATTACAGGATCGATGTTTTAATTTGATACTGTTCAATTGTGAAGCCCGCAGCATCTTCCTGACCTTAGACACTAGTAAGTGACAGGGACCCTTCCTGAAGACCCTGCAGGCGAGTGCCCAGGAGTGAGTTGAGGGATGAGGGCTGGAGCTTCCCCCTGAGTCCTCCAGCAGCCCCTCCCTTAGCCCTGCACAGAGGGACACAGCAGGGTGAGGAAGAAGAGGAAGCTCAGGGGTCACAGGTAGTTCTTCAGGTGACCAACCATCCTCAGACAGGAGACTCGGCTGAGCCCATCTCTGGGTGTCGCTGAGCACGGGAATCGAGACTCTCCAGGAGCAGACAGGAGAGGAGTGTCCGGGGTCACTGCGGGGAGGGTCAGAGACCTTCATCCCCATATGGCTGGGCGGAAACAGGGGGTGGTGCAGGAAGTGTGAGACTCTGGAGGAAGTTGGTACAGACATTGGCGGGAGATTTGAGAATGGACCTGTCCTTGGAGTGAGTGATGGCAGGGCAGGCACCCCTGTGTGACCCCGCGGTCACTCTGAGTACAGTTTGGGTTAGTTACTGTGCTGTTAGGATTCCCTTTGTGGGCCTGAACCCTCCTGGTCCTTGTGCCCCTTTAAGTCTTGAGCGCCCTCTGGTGGCCCTGGAGAGCCCTGCAGCCCAGCCTGTCTCAGCAGGTTTGTGTCTGGGCTCCCCCTGACTTCCCCTCACTGTGTCTCTAGCACAGTAATACACGGCTGTGTCCTCGGGGGTCACTGAGCTCAGCTGCAGGGAGAACTGGTTTTTGTTCGTGTCTCTGGCGATGGAGACACGGCTCTTGAAGGACGGGCTGTAGTAGGTGTTTCCGCTAGCACATATTTGCCCCAACCAGAGTAAGCCTTTCCCTGGGGGCTGGCGGATCCAGTTCCAGCAGTAATTGCTGGTTGTGATGGAGAATCCGGAGACAGCGCAGGTGAGGGATAGGGTCTGGGAGGGGGCAACCAGTCCTGGACCCGACTCTTGCAGGGTCAGAGCATTCACAGCACCTGGGGACACGGAGAATCAGTCACTGTCAGTCCCTGCAGTCACTCCCTCCCATAGACCCTGTCACATCTGAGACACTTACCCTGAGGGACTGTCACCAGGCAGAGGAGAAGACCCCACGGAATCATCTTCTTGACCACAGCTCTGCCTTCCCCAGAGACTCAGCCCTGAGTGAGGAGACAGCTGTGAGCTCCACAGCCCAGAGAGCATTTGATCCCAAGGCCTGAGAAGGATTTGCATGAGGTGACCAAGTCTGTTATAAGGGGAAACTTTCTTACCTTGAACCCCCTTGTCCCACTGGGTACTGAACTCACACACCCTGTCTGGTGGATTGAGCACTGCTCAATGGGGCACATTAAAACAGGTCATGGGGGATCATGACTTACTCATCTCATAATCAGAGAAGATGAAAGGATCAAAATTCCCTAATTAGCTCACATTTTCTTTTTTCTATCTCTCAGCAACTCTAAAATTAAACTTTGTTTCCCTTAATTAAACACCGAAGTTTTCAAGTTGTTCCTAACACAGATGTAATAAGTTTTTAACATTCCCACACCAATCCCACCTCCTAATGACCTTCTTTCCTCAGTGTCCCCATTTCCCCAACCAGCACCACGAGCCTACCCTTTCATCAGGCACATAATACTTTATTTTACGTTACTTATTACAATAAAAAGATTAAAGGAATTATCAAATCACTTCAGTAAAAGAACATTTGTGCAATTGTTCTATCTCACCTCAGGGTTGTGGAGCCTTTGTCTGAGAATTTACTAAGCTGTTGGTAACTGGTTGAGCCTTCTATATTACTGTTTTATTGTTGAGTTTAGTTGGCTTCTATGTTTCTTTCTTCCCCTAAGCAGTACCTGTGATACATGAAGTCAAATTCCTCAGAAATTTCTGATTTCGTATTTGCACCCTGCTTAGGGTTCGAAAAGACTAATCTGGCCTGAGCACTGGAGTCTGAGATCTATAGCTTTTGTATCTCTTACTGTGTCCATACAAAATGACCAATATTAAGAAGTAGAACTCAAATGAATGGTTCAATGGTTATTGGACTAAGGAAAGGAGAAACACACCCCTAGGTGGTATTCAGCCCTTGAGCAGATCTCCTGACTGCAGGAGATCAGGAAGGGCTTTCATATGTTGATTGTGCTACCTGGACCTAGGTGTCATTGCTACCCACAATGCTCAGAGGTTGGATGCTAGACCTGGGCTGCAAGACAGGAATGAGAGGCAGCCTACACTGGAAAGGGGAGCTTGGTGATACTGGAACAGGTGCGTGGGGAAAAGGGAATAAATGGGAACTGATCACCAATGGTCTTGACCCTCTTTCCTCCTTTGTCCGCCCATTGCCATTGACCATCCCAGGAGGGGTAAGCGGGCGAGACCACCAAATACAGGTGAGAGAGCTGTGGGCTTCGTTTTTTTAATTACACTTCTGACCAGTTTAAAAGCCCCTAAAGATTCTGCCTTTGAAACCCAAATAGGAAGCACCCCCATTTTCCAGGCGGCCAGGGAGCATGATCAGAGAATCTTAGATTTAAATAGTCCCTGAGGAACTCTAGACAAGGAGCCCCTTAACCTCCTTCTGCATCTGCTTCTGTGCTGACCCAGAGTGCAGGGTGAGATAAGGCCCGGGAACCTGCAGACCAGCCCTCTGTCCCCCTGAGGAAAGCATGTGTCTGGGATCCCACCCACTCCCACCCGGGGTCCCACACACACAGCCCTGTGTCCTTGTGACCGCTGGGATCAGGGCACAGAGGATGGTGCCCTTGGCTGTGTCCCTGGGATGGGTCACCGTGGGGGTTGTGTGTAGTCTGAGTTTGAGCAGGACCAAAGATAACGTCCGCTCCAGCCCTTCCCTGGAGGTTGGTGATCCGGCCATGCCACAAGCAGAGGGTTTGCTGAGAACCCAGAGACAGGACAGTGAGGCTGAGGGTCTGCATGGGCTTTTCTCCTCCTGATCCATGTCTTCCATAGCCGGGGTCAAATTCTGAAGATTCCCGTGCTCAGGGAGAACAGTGGACACCCCTGTCAGACTCTCCCCCATGTGAAAACTTCCCAAAGATACTCACAGCTGTAGCTGTCATCAAAAGAAATTACAGAGAAATTCAGCGTCTGTGGGGCTGAGCTTTGACTCTCAGAGACTGTCCCGGAGGGGGGCCTGCCCTGAGAGTAGAGGGTCTGCGTTTCCCAGGAGCTCAGGGGTGAGCAGCAGTGGACACACTGTGCAGGGAGGGGGAGGAGTCCATGGCTGGTCCCTCCCCTCTGGGCTCTGCAGAGAGGAGGCACTGGGTGGATCCTGGTGGACGTGAGATCTGAGTTTCCTCCCCACAGGTCTTTCTTCTAAGGCAGGAGAGGCCGTGACAGGGCGTCCGAGGACACGGGGCTGTAGCCGTCAGCACAGAAGGACTCGTGCTCTCCAGGGCGCTCTGTGAGCACTCTGCAGACACGGGTGCGAGTTCACCCTGCAGCGGGGCAGCCTCTCCTTCTCCCCTCCCAGCCCGAGTCCCAGCCCCTCCTGGGCCCCTGCTCAGCTTTTCTCTCTCCCGTCAGCCCTGGGCACTCTGGGCTGAGCCCGGGTCTGCTATTTCTCTTTGTACCGCATCAGAGTCCACCTCACTCAGCAGGACTGACCAGAGGGCGGGAAGCCCAGTCCACCCACAGGAGCTCTCCCACGCTCAGTCACGACTGTGCTCAGGATTCGAGCGCCCTGCATGGGGAATTGTCTTCTGCTGTAGATGGTTTCACTGTTCATGTATCAGTTGTAAAATTCCAACAGAAATTGCTGTGAATGTGTTCCTCAGCCTTTCAGTTCTTTCCAATGAACTTCCTCCTATCGTGTAATGGCATGAATGTGTGGATGAGGTTTCCCTTACAATTATGAAAACTCCATTACTTTGTATGTACTATATTTAGTCTAGCATCAAGTACCATGCTGCTCACAAGAACTTGAAGTTTCTATATTTCTCTTATCCCACATTCAATAACTGAAAGGAAACTCCTATCCACAATATAAGGTACAGGTCAAATTAAAAATATTTGGTTTTACAAAAATTATATTTTGTGTTTACCAGGAAGAAGAAGAAGCCGACTACAAATGGCACAGCATGTGTGGATGCTCCTTGGCAATGAGTTGCTCTTAGAAAGCGCAGTAACTCTGTAAACCACAGATGGACAGTAAGACAAATGCATCTATATGTACACCAATTACAAAAGACTGAGAATGGAAAAACAAGACTTATTCCTCTGAAGGGCTGGAGCGATAGCACAGCGGGTAATGTGTTTGCCTTGCATGCGGTCGACATGGGTTTGATTCCTCTGCCCCTATTGGAGAGCCCGGTTAGCTACAGAGAGTATCTTGCCCACCCAGCAAAGCCTGGAAAGCTCCGCATGACATATACATTATGCCAAAACCAGTAACAACAAGTTTCACAATTTGTTGACACGTTTCTGGTGCCCACTTGAGCAAATCGATGAACAACGGGAGAACAGTGCTATTCCTCTGAAAAGAATATCTGTTCAGGAGCACAGCGTACAACAGAGAGTATTTAGTAGTCTTCCAAAAAATGGCATTAAAATTTATACTAGAGGATTAAAGAACATATTGATATATGCCTACTTAAGTTGATTAAATATCCTTTATATGTTTAAACTTTAAAATAAAAATGGAATCCTTTACAACCTTCTTTGTCAAGGTCATGAACGATCGGTTTGAGGCCCTCCATGTTCCCGGAGCGAAGAGATGCCATTGGGCTACACTAGCACGCGACAGGGACAAATGGAGACGTTACTGGCGCCCGCTCGAGCAAATCGACGACTAACGGGAAGTTAAGTGATTAAGTGATTAAGTGATTACAACCTACCCGCAGAGCCCAGCCTTTGTAGATCACGAGTAGACAGCCCCCTGGTGGTCCCACGCATCCCTGCAGCTTCCCTGTCTCCCTCAGCAGGTTTGTGCCTGGGCTCTCAGGGACATGCCCTCACTATGTCTCTTTTGCACAATAATACTCGGCTGTGTCCTCAGTTACTGAGTCGCTCAATTTTAGGTAAACTTGGTTCTAGGAGGTGTCCCGGGAGATGCTGACTCGGAACTTAAGACTTGGGTTATAATCTGTGCTTTCATCACGCCGTATAACACCACCCAATCCAGTCCCTTTCCAGGGGCCTGGTGGACCCAGGTTACACCATAGCTAGTCACAGAGAATCCAGACACAGAGCAGGTGAGGGACAGCGTCTGCGAGGGTGTCACCAGGCTTGGTCCTGACTCTGCAGCTGTGCCTGGGACAAGAGACCTGGGGACAGAGACCCACAGTGAGTCACGGGCTCAGAAGCCCCATGCCCACCTTTGAGCCTCTGTCCAGGGATACTCATATCCAGGAGCTGCCACCAGAAAGAGGAGGAACCAGCGCTGATGCACGTTCTTGCCCACAATGTCCATGATCTCAGTCACCATGTCAGGGGGAGAGGGAGCCCGAGTTGGAATGAGTATGAATGTGGTTTTAACCCTAGGTCCCGAGTGAAGATTTGCATTGGGGGGCTCTGTAGAGAAAGGAGGGGACCAGGGGAGGTTATTGTGTGGGCTCCCTGGGAGGAGGTGCTGACTGTGACTTAGAGCACTCAGTGCTGTCCCTGGGGCACTGTGAGAGCCAGGTCTCTTCCTCCAGCACAGGAAACTTGCTGAGGAGCTCTCAGGAAACAGGAATTGCTGAGGGGAAACAGCAGGTGGGGAGCAGAGTCCCCGAGTCTCCGGTCCCTGATGACCAAACCCAGCTGTCCTGTAAACAGGCCCCTTCCCCTTCATGTTCCTCAGTGGTGGCTCTTGTTCTCTCTCTGTCTGTGAAATATTTGTGGTAGAAATATGGTTGTAGCCAGGTTTATTTCTTACAGTGAATTCTGACAGAACTTTGTTCAATCCAATGTCAGTGAAATATTACAGTAATTTCTTCTCACACTTACCTTGGATGAAAATTTCTTTTCCTGGATCAGATTTACCCAAAAGTATTTATTCAGTGTCATTGTTAGAACGCATATGCTCCCTGATGATGGGTGACTTGCCTGGTGTGGTTGGCCTGGTAATAGCACCTGATCCTGTTCTGTCTTTCTATAACTCATAGACCAGCAGAAT